CCTGATGACGGAGGCAGTATGACCTCTGAAACGTTGGTAAACATCGGCCAGACTACACAGCGCAACAACCCAGAAGACAGAAATCTTAATTACATATTACCTTGGAAATATACTGAAAGAAGATTTCTTTATAGAAAAGCATGAAAATGGCCGAGTAAAGAAGCAGCTTTGTCAAATATAAAAGATACACTTAATGTTAAGGGTTGTAAATATATTTATTACAATTGTATGACTTAATCCTCTACAATGGGTACCGGGGTCCTTTCCCGGGGGTAAAGCCGGCCGGGGCGTGATGCCGACCACTCACCCCCATCTAGTGCCGAGGTCAAGGAAGAGAGGAGCTATATCTCCACTCGCCCCAAACGCCTACATGGCATATAGTGGGACAAACTTTACTTTTTAATATACTATTAATAAAATCAAACTATATGAATAATGCATTGAACAGCTACAGCTTTGTAGAGAAATGTGTGTGTACACATACACACATACATGTAGACTGATCCAATTAAAATTTAATATATTTTATGATATGTAGTTTATTTTATATGTTACTGAGGTCAGACATTCACTCATAATCAATCTCACATATAAATAACATTCAATACGCAATTTTCTTGTATTATAAAAATTATTGAAGTTGTCATGTGACAATTGTGCCAGAGCACTGTTTGTCATGTGATGGGGTATAAGTCAATCAGTATCAGTCAGCTTTTGCTTTTGGTACTTCTCACATTTGCTTCAACTTGCCGAGCACACTTGGGGCATGTAGCATTGAATTTTAAATAGAGAAACATATTGTTAACGAGGAGAAATATAACTGGAAGAAATGTTTGTTGATAATTAATATAAGTGGTTGCATGATATTCCTAGCTTCGCAATGCACGGCAATTTCAACTGCACGCAAACTCTCGACACCACAAGCTTACAGCCGTGTGTCTGTGACAAACCTTAACTAAAATTTTACCAGTGGTACATTCGAAACATACGGATGTATGCATTCTGATCTTTGTGTGAAAAGGATGATCTGTGTTTTAATTGGATCGGACTATACTGCTACATTCAGATGTGTGCATTAGCTCTTATGTGATATATTAATTAATGTAGTTTAAATTACTTTATTATGTGTTATAAAACATGCTGAGGAGTAATTATGGAAATAATTACTGGTCTTTATCAGCAGGTATGTCATCACATTTATGACAGCTGATAATCTTAAGCTATTATGCATTTGAATATGAGGATCTACAGCTTATTTGTATTTGAAATATTTAAAGGCAAACAATAAAAATTGTCCTTCTGTATCAAGTTTTTATTTTTCTTCAAATGGAACTTATAAGGTAAAATTGACTTATTGTCCACTATTTTATGAAGGCAAGCAGATAACTGATTCATGGATGCCCTTGCAACTGCACTGGTTATATAGCATTGAATAGTAGGATGATTGTGGATGGAAATTTCGTTAAATAAACCATAACAGCATCCTTCAACGAAACTGATTGTGCAGATTCTAGTTGGCCGGTGGAATTCCTTATATTTGGAAACAACAGAGCGTATGAACTTTATCGTTTCTGTGCATAAAAATTCGTGAATAATCATCTGTAGCAAGAACGAGGTCGGAACCCTACTACAGATTAATACCAGGAGTGTGCTCCATTGAGTCCGTTTAGTTCAAGTAAAGTACACATCAGACAAATGAAAATAACAACCTCCTAAGTCAATGCTTCTATAAACTGAGTTGTTCGTGAATTATTATTCACAAGTAATAAGTTACACTGCACATATTATGCAAGAAAGCTCTATTGTAACACTGCTAGTGAACCTAATTGATCCCATGCAACACCGCAAGCATGATAAGGCAGAGTGCACCTTGTACCGCGCAACCACCGGAATTCGCGTAATGAGGGTTGATGCCACCCCTCCTTTCATAACAATTTCTGTCCTGTGCTTTATAATCTGAGCAGTCCATCATCGTACAACAAAGAATAATCAGCATTGCTTTTACTATGCCGTTATATATTAGGTCCCGGATTCTGCACCCAGAGTTGTCACCTGCGTGAATGCAGGCGCTCAATATACATTGGAGACTGCTTTAAAATGCACAACTGTACTGTATACCACATTTTAACAATAATGTGTTATGCTTGTGCGTTATGAGTACAATTATCTTCCTAATCACTAGCGCCATACTTAATATAACGGGCAGGCATGGAAACTGAAATCGTCTGTTATCGGCTGCTTCGTCAGCGGCGGCGGAGGAGAGCTCTGTGTGTTTTAGTTATCTTCCCTGAGTTGGCTTGAAAGATGTACAACATGCAGCTTTTATTCTGAGAACACGAGTTGTGAGCTACAATCTGACCGAAGGAGGCTCCTAACATCAACAGAAACGGAATAAAAAAGGTAACAACTGATACCAGAAGTAGCACATTGTTGTTTGTTAATTCGATTCAATCAGCATATTCTCACAAATAAGGTGTCTGTCCTTGCCCCTTTCGTTTCGCTTGTGTCAAATATAATGAGCTTGCAGGTTAGAACCGCGTCGTCTATTGGGAACTATTCCGAAGTTTCGACAAACATTGCAGTTGCCATCTTCTCGTTTTATGTCTTCTGTTCTTGAAGACTGCAACTGCATTGTTTGACGAAACGATGCAGCTCAAACCTGGAAGCCCTTCGTATACAATAACACAATACAGTATGAATGCTAGAGAGGTATGTAGTTTTAATAAAATCCTCTGGGGTCATCAGCCCCTGAAGATTTTATTAATTCGGTTCGCCGTGAAAGTTTTAGATCGCACAGTTATATTTTTGTTCCGTAACAGTGACAAGTGAACCTGAAGAAAGCAGTAACGTTAAATCTCGAAAGCAACACAGTTTATGACGTAAATATTTAGAATCGCGGTTCATTTAGCCTACTACAGCTCAACATTTAGGACTGTTCGCACAATTAACGTTATTGAAGTTATAGTGCTATTTGTGGTTTGATTAATAAACAGAATATGCAGGTTTTTCTGTCAGCCGCGAATTCAAGCGTCCAAATCGAGAAACTAATCCGTTAAATAGGTCTGGTTAATGTGAGAAACAACAGCGTAGTTGAAACATATTACATTTGTTATTGAAGGCAAATTGTGGCATATTTTGATTTGTCATAATAGAACAAAGGTTCAAAACTGCTACAGCCTGCCAGAGGATACGATCCAGTGTCAGTTAATCTTATTCACAGCCAGTCTTCGCTAAGATCTGTTTTAATATCACATTCTCATGTCCGTGGTTTTTTAAGTGATTGAATTCGGAAAGGTTTCCTCCGAAATTGATAACTGAGTAAAGTAGCAGGCTTGCGGCATCATGCATGCTCCGGGTTCCATTCCTGGGGACTGGGATCTTTCGTCAGATGCTCAGATATGACCGGAGGGGGGGGGGACTTCGTCTAGTTCATAGGTTAAGGGTTATCGCACACGTAAGACAAACAGTCTGACGACTGTTTCGTCGTTCGCACATAGCCCTTAAGAACATATAGAGATGCGCACACTGTTACGAGTGGCAGTCGGTTACCTCTACCGACAACCCCGGATTTTTCTGTCTACCAACTGTCGTTGGCCCTTCGAATTTTATGAAAGCGCGCAGACGAACGACCTTTCAGTCGCATTTGCAGACAGTAGACGATTGTCAAACATGGATTTTGTTGAAACTGCTATAGTAAGCGCACTTTAATGCTTGCCTCTGATGTTACGCAAAGCATTTTGTTTGTGAATATGAACCTGATAAGGGTGTGTTGTCTGGTATTTGCAAATCGTCGTGGGCGTACGTTAAGTATATCACGGTCATATGTGAATTCAGTTTTATTTTAAGTGCGAATACAGAGGCTGGCGTGATTAAATCTCGGGGGATGGGTCACGTGGGACACGTAACATGCATGGGAAATTTTTTTTATCGAATGGCGACTTCTTAACGCAGCAATTCTTCTTTGTTAATAAGCATTGCTACGATAAACATATCTTTCGCGACTCAGGAGGTAGATGAAGGCGAAATTTAGCTTAGGGCTGTATTAAATTGACTAGCGTTTCTATAGTTCGGGGCCCATATTTAACAGGGGAAACGCTGGTACAAGGAAAATAATTTATAATCAATGAAAGGGGAGAAAAACAATAAAGTCAGGAAGTTACATTTCCACACTACGTTATTCATTAGGCAGGCGGCCCTTTGCTTTACTGTAGCACGTGATGAATTAGTGAGCGTAGACGGGGAACGATTTGAATTACAGGAAATTTATGGACTAGGTAGAAGATGCAGGCGCTCCTAATATCTTGGTATAGGAATACGTTTTAAAGAAGACCACAAAAATTAAGTTACATCAAGCTAAGTACACAGCGGAGAGAAACTTCACAATTTGAAATTCGTGCTCAGTAGAAGCCTTTTTATTAATTCTGTACACGGAGTGAACACACAGGCCTGATAGGAGGTCTTTTGTGTTTATATATTTCTTCGATTCCCGGCGGTGCCCGAATTTATAACTTGTGTTGGGCAAGGCCGTGGTCTAGGCAACACGGAGTTTTCCTCCGGGGGATTCCCCGGTTTCTCCGTGGCATCCCAACAATTACTCCATTCACACACAGAAGAAGGCAATGGCAAACCACTTCTGGATCATCTGCCAAGAACGTATATGAACAGGTCCCAGTCCGAGAAAGGGATGGAAGGACCCTGTTCATATGGACCTGTCGTCAGACAGAACACTAAATAAATAAAATAAAATAAATCTAGATTGAAAGTTGGTGAGTGAATTTAATTTAGATTTATAATTGTTCAGAGCATGTAACTAAAAACGTACTTAATTGATTTTTTTTTACAAAAACCGCTCATCGTATAAGTAAATGGCAGAGGAATAATGTACATATAAATCTTAATGAATATGGATGAAATATCCAATTTAAACTTT